CCATTCAAGGGCAACTTTCAGAGTCTTTTCTGACATCCATTTTGGTCTTTCTTCCTTTCTTGTCTTTTTAATGACCTTTTGCTTTCTTCATGGATGATGTTCTTGATGTCATCCCACAATTACTATAGTTTTCAGTCACTGGTGTTCAATGCATCAAATCTATTATTTAGCTGGTCTCTATATTCAAGAGGGATATAATCAAGGTCATATTTTGGCTCTCATGGACTTCTTTTAATTGTCTTCAGCTTCAACTTGAACTTGCATGTGAGCAGTTGATGGTCTGTTCCACAATCAGCTCATGGTCCTGTTTTGGCTGAAGATATTGAGCTTCTCCATTGCCTCTTGCCACAGATGTAGTCAATCTGATTCCTATGTACTCCATCTAGTGAAGTCCACAAGTTTAGCTGCCATTTATGTTGTTGAAAAAGGTATTTGCAATGAATAAGTCATTGGTCTTGCAAAATTCTATCATGTGATCTCCAGTGTCATTTCTATCACTGAGGCCATATTTTCTAACTACCGGTGATTCTTCTTTATTTCCAGCTTTTGCATTCCAATCACCAGTGATAATTAAAACATCTTGATTGCATGTTTGGTTAAATTCAGAGTGCAGAAATTGGTAAAAATCTTCAATTTCCTCATCTTTGGCTTTGTTGGTTGGTGCGTAATTTTGAATAATGGTAGTATTAACTGGTCTTCCTTGTAGGCATATGGATATTATCCTATCACTGACAGTATTTTCCTTCAGATATATCTTGATACATTCGTTGTGATGATGAATGCTATGCCATTCCTCTTCAATTTCTCATTCCTGGCATAGTAGATCATATGATTGTCTGATTCAAAATGGCCACAACCAGTCCATTTCAGCTAATGTCTAGGATATTGATCTTTATGCAAAAAACCAAACTCACTGCTGTCAAATCAGATATTTTTGATAACTTCCAATTTTCCTAGATTCATACTTCATACATTCCATGTTCTGATTATTAATGGATGTCTGCAGCTATTTCTTCTCATCTTGAGTCATACCACATCAGCACATATTTTGGGGGGATATAATTCAATCCATAATATTCCCCCCTTTGGCCCCAAAATACATGTTCTTACCTCATACAAAGCACATTCACCCAATCAATGGTGGGTGGATATGAAAATATGAGGGGATTAGATGTTGGGTAGGTTGAGTTTGGGATGCCTACAAGACTTCAAGTGGATGTGTCCAACAGACAGTTGGATACATACGTCTGAAGCCCAGGAAGAGGTCCAGGCTGGATACATGGTCCTGGGATCAAAGATAAAATCATGAAAATGGATGAAATCATCTAGAGAGTATGTATGGGTTGAGAGGCATAAGTATTATGCATCTCCCTTTCATCTTCCCTCCTATTCAAACTTAACTCTTCCTACCTCTTCATTGTCTTCTTCAAAAAGAGTATCACTCATTACTATTCCTTAGCTAAAACTATATAAGAAATACTGTGCTGACTGGTTTGATATTAAATATATGATGACAAATCTTAAATGGCACTCAATACAGCCAAGTATACCTTTTAAACGTCCACTCTCAAAGACTGTATTTTCAGTTTCTTCTCTTCCTGGAACCTTCCAATCCCTCTTCACTATCCACTTTCAGCTGAACTTTACCTTATACTTCACATTTTTAACAGGCAATTTGACTGACTACCTCATCTTTGTACCATCAAATATACAAGGCTCTTTGTCTCTATAACCACATGTAATGTCTTCCTTCTTTTTACCACAGAAAAAATGCAGTATGGCCAGCCCCTCCACCTGTGTTCTGGATTTCACCTCTTTTTCCTTCTTCATTCATGTAATTACATCCTTTCTCTCCATCATCAACAATTACTCTTTCACTACTGAGTTTGTTGAACTAACAACATTAAGTTCAATGAACACTTAAAACCAATCAGTTCTTGGAGGTGGAATCTGAACAAACATACACAAAATATTTTCCATTCCTATTTGTCTCTGGTAACATAGTGCCTAAGGCATCTGACTGCTAACCAGATGGTGGTTCAAACTGACCAGCCACTCCACAGAAACAAGACTGGGCAATCTACCTCCATTAAGATTTACCACTTCAGGTTCAGAAACCATAGGGGTCACTATGAGTCAGAATTGACTTGACAGCAGTGGGTTTGGTTTGGTTTATCTGTCTCTTACCCTCCTAATGAATTAACTATTTTGTGCTCAGTTTGCCCTTATATCTCTGACATTTTGGATTGTAAAGGTAAATACAAATCTAGAAAAATTTAAATTAAAAAATTTTCCCAGTGTCAAAAAAGACAGAACTTTTCCTCTCCTGTTCTTTTAAAAATTTGTAATTGTAAAGGCTTACTCTACCTTTAAGAAACATATAAACCTTAAAAAAAAAAAAAAAAAAGCTAAGTAATTCTCACTCCTCGGAAGGAAGATGGGGCAATCTACTTCCGTAGTGATACTGCCTTGGAAACCCAAGGAGGGGTCGCTATGAGTTGGGTCCGACTCGACGGCACATAACAACAACAACAACAAGTAATTCTCTTGCCAGTTTTTATTCCAAGGTTTTCCTTGAGGGACTTGGAGCCATTTTTTTGAAATATGAACATCAAGGAGGACGGCATTGGGTCTCCTTGTCTCTATGGGAGTTTAAGCCAAGTGCTTGACTCCAGGATGTAATTCCCATTGTTGAAAAGAAAGAATTTTTTTTCATTTTTTCTTTTGGATAAGATAATTAACGAGTATGCAATAGATTGTATCTGGCTATAAAAAGGGTGCGATTTTTTTTCTTTGCAATCTCTTTAGCAGATTGCCTATGATGCATATCACAGTATGATTTAATGCTTATTTGATAATAAAACTGCTTTATTCTTTTCTGTATTTTGTAGGAGGATATTTTGGGGTTGGCAGATTTTATTTCCCAAACAGGTTCCTCCCTTTAGAATACTTAAGGCAGGCTGATACCAGAGACAGATTACCCAATAAGTAAGGTAAGCACGGGTTCACTTGTGCTTATTTATTACTCTGTAGTGAACAATTTCATGTTTTTCACCACAAACATGTGAAACTGTTCACTACAGATCAGTAAGTAAGCACAAGTAAGGCCATGCTTATCTTGCTTACTGGGAACTCTCTAGGTCAGGAACTGTAAATTTAAAGAGGCTTTGATTTTGTGGGAAGATACTGTGGGGTCAGGAGAGAGACAAATGCCAGCCATATCTGGAATCAGAATGTTTGATATGGTGGAAAAACGTGAAATTGTTCACTGCAGATTAGTAAATAAGCAGAAGTAAACCCCTGCTTAATTTGTTTATTGGTAAATCTGACACTGGCTGATACTCACTATTCCATCTCTATACCTAATTAAGGCAATAAAAAAGAATACAAATACAGCAACACTGTGAAGATGGCGCAGGGCCCAGCAATGTTTTTTCTGTTTGTACCTATGAGCCAGAACAGACTGGAAGGGTCCTAACAACAAAAAGAAAATGGAGAAAACATGGAGGTTTGGTTTCTGACAACCATAGGTATAAATTGTGTTTTTCCTTCCATGGACCTTTAGAGAAGTTACTTAACTCTCTGAACTCTGATTACTTCTATAAAATGATAATAGTTCATGTTGTTGTTGTTGTTGTTATATGTCGTTGAGTCGGACTGACTCACAGCGACCCCTCCTTGGGTTTCAGAGGCAGTATCACTACGGAAGTAGATTGCCTCATCTTCCTTCTGAGGAGTGGCTGGTGGGTTTGAACTGCAAGCCTTCTGGTTAGCAGTCAAGTTCATAGGTGAGATAAAGTATCTGACACACAGGAGGCTCTTAGCAAATGAAGGACACAGTCATAGTAGATCCTTGAACATCAAATGCTTTCCCGTTCTTCCCTTTCTGCTTGAGTATCTCTGCCAAATCCCAGGATATAGGCTCCGTTTGGGTTGGCCAAGAATCGGAGTCAGCTCAATGGCAACCGGATTTTCACTAAATTTTAATACTAACGATGAGGCAACTGCTACCTATAGTACGAAATCATAGTGTAGACTTTTTGAGTTTTAAAGATTTTGGTAGATAAAATACGTAAAGTTAACAGAGCCCGCGCAATTTAAAGATAAAGGGGGAAATCAGACTGCGGGTGTCCCCTATGCAAATAGAGAATAGAGGCGACGCCTGCGCTCCGACACTCGACAGAGCGAGGGCGGAGATTTGCATGTGCGAAATCGCAAAGAGGGGGAACCACCTATCGAAAACCCCGGCCGCGCTCCCCGCGAGCCAACAGGTCCGGCCCTACTTCGCCGCCCGCCCCGCCCCTAAGTGCTCCCGGACCGACAGCCCTCTCGACGTCACCACACACTCCCACCTGCTTCTGAACTTTAAACCACGCTCCAAAGAACAACCTGGAGGAGGGGGATTTCTCCGGAGTCTGTGTGGTCTCCGCACGCGCGGAACCTTCACCTCCCGGTTCCCGGCGTTCCCTGCGCTCCAGAAAAAAAGCTCCAGGTTCCCCTCGACCCCTAGCAAAACCCCGCAGCCACTTGGGGGCGCATGCGCGGGGGCGGAGAGCGTGCAGAGGGCGACCGAGACCTGGCGGAGCGCGAACCACAGAGTGCGAACGCGCGCGCACCGGTTACGAATAGGCCCCGCCCCCAGAGGAAGGCGGTGGTAAGGGCCTACGTAATCGACGGGAAATCCCCCTCCCTCCCGGCTACCAGCTTCTCAGCAGGGCGGGCGCAGGGCTCTCACCGCGCTCCGCCCCTTGTCCCTGGCTCTCGCACCCTGGACGAGCTACGCTGGCTGACCCAGAGCGCGAGAATTAAGGGGGTGGGAAGGTGTGAGCCGCAAACCCTGAAGAGGGCGGGAAAGAGGAGGAGGGTCCGGGAGTGGTCAGGGGATCTGAGGGTCCCTCCGGCAGAGGTCCCGCGACCGCCTGACTGACGTGATCACTGACTGCGGCGGTGTCCGGCCCGGACCCTAGAGCTGCCTGCAGGGCAGCGCAGTGAGCGTTACCATGGCCTCCGGTGAGTGTTCCCGGCGGGGATACCAGGGACTGAGGTCCCGGCATGGTCGGGGTGGGGGAGCGAAGAGCTTGTCCTGGGTGTGCTGCGCCGAGTTTCGGAGGCTTAACGAGGCGAAGGGCAAGCTTCTTCGTCTGCTGAGATTTGGTTGTGGCACATTCTGTCTTTAAAATCTCATTATTTGGCAAATTGTCAGTCTTTTGAAGTTACTCGGTTCATGGTTTGCGTGCGAAATCAAAACCACGCACTGTAATTTGATACCATTGTAATAGCCAGAACCTTAGAAATTCCCAACGGCTTGGTTTTAGGATTAGGGAAGTAATCATCCAAAGGAGGACGAAGAGTTCTTGTGTTTTAAAATTTACTTGTATTGAAATGGTAGTTTCATGTTTTAGAACAGGAATGAGGAACCTTCAGATCACTACAGAACCGTGCCCGTCTTTAGTTTAATTTCAAGTCCGAAGAAACGATCGCAGTTGTACTGACAGTTGTACAAAATGTCGCGCGACTTTAAGTGTAATCAGTGGCCTTGGAGAGAACAATCATGGGAGAAAGAAGGGCTGCTTATGCACAGGGAGACAGCTCAGAGGGCAGGAGTGCATGGAGGGATGGACACCGGGAAGACGTTAACTATGGGGAGGAAGGAGGAGGGGAGCTGTTGCATTGTGGTAAACTGTGGTCAATGTCATGAGACAAAGTGTATGTGAACTGCTGTATGGAAAGTGAATTTGCTCTGTAAATCTTCACCCAAATCACAATTAAAAAAAAAAAGGAAAAAAAAAAGTGTCATCAGTGGTATATTAACAGATCTTAAGTGAAAATGTTTAACAAAGGGGATAATTTTTATTGTGAAGTCAGGTGCACACTTTCTAGTTTACCGAGAAGTCAGTTTGTTTTTTTTTCCTTTGTTGGGAAGATTTTTGGAAGTCTCGTCATTTAAATAATGGCTAGAAATGAAAACAACTTTACATCATTTGTGTAAATGATAATTTTCAGTTAATAAATGCTTGGACCTCTTGCTTAACGGGGAAACGCGCTTACTAAGAAACAGCTTATAGGGTACTGAGGGCTTCCCCTAGATAGAACCGTTGTTCAGGTGGGCCTGATAGCCTAGGAGGGCAAATGAAGTAGACCGCGTTTGAATGGGGCCTTTCCCCGGATTTTGGCCAAGTGCATGGGGAAGCTTTCCAGACAGAGCAGCTTGAGCAGAGGCCCGGAGGCCAGAAGTTCATATTAAATGCTGTGCTGAAAGACTGGAGAGGGGCCTTGTTTACCCTTGACCCAACTACCAAGTAGTTCTGTAACCCTCAGTAGAGGCTGATATCTAGTAGAGAAGAGGAAGTAGAAAGCATAAAGGATCTTTATAAAGGGTTGAACAGAACAATGCCATAGCTACTACTGTAGGCTGAAAAGGAAATAGGGGTGTTTCATATGACACTTGATTTCAGTTTGTCTTTGTGGTTTTCTTGTGAGAATACAAATATAGTTTAAAAATTTCAACTTTCCCTTTACCCACTTCACTGACCCCAAACTTTCAGATAATCTAAGTTCATGAAGTCAAAGCATATTTAAATTAAAAGTGCAAAGAGTAATTAAATTTCGGTTAATTTATTGAATATGAGAAAGATGTTTTATCACAGTTAAGAATGGCGAGCATTGTAAGTAAAAAAAGGTCCGCCTGCTGGCAGTATAACTAAACTTTATTAATTTACTACCTGAATATATTGTAATGTAATTCTTCCAAAACAGAGAAAAGAATAAATCATTTCCATATGGACTCTTCTAGGATCCACATGATTTTAAAAGGTTTTACAATTTGTTTAAAAACACTATCTTCTGCTGTTAGGAGGACTAAGAATTCCCTAAATTGGAGGGAGGAAGATTGAAAGGAATGTGAAGTTTTAAAGCTTTGGAAGTCGAAGAGTCATTATTCTGTTTTCCTTTTCTCAAGAGTTGTATTAAAATGGGACTATTTAAAATATAACAAGTTATTTAAAAATAATCTAATTGTTTGAAAACTGCTAGTTTTTTTTTATTTTCTTTTTAAAATTTTATTATTATTATTATTATTTTATTTATTAATTTTTTTTTAAAGGAGTCTGAGTGTACTTCCATTACAAAAACAAACTTGCTGCTGTCGAGTTGATCCCATAGAGGACCTATAGTGACCTCTCCTTGGGTTTCTGAGGTGGTATCTCTACAGAGGCAGTTTGCCCAGTCTTCCTTCCGAGGAGTGGCTGATGGGTTTGAACCCCCAGGCTCCTGGTTAGCAGTCAGATGCCTTCCCTTGTAAAAGCTTAAGCAAGAAGAAGAGTCACAAAGTAAATAATAAATTTCCATCCATATTTTGAAATTAGAAATTTAATTGAAAGTAAAAAATTGTCTTAAGTTATCATTATTTGATTTAGATTCTTTTTGTAGTAAGGTAGTATTGAAACCTCAAAAAATCAAAAATTATTTTTATTGATTATGAAACCTTTAAGACCAATTTTTGCTTTCTTACTGGATGTCATATGTAAATAGAAACAGTATGTGTAGTTGAATATGTGATCTATATAACATCAAAGTAACAGATCATAATCTTATAAGCAAAATTACATGAGTGTCATGAGGAAAATATAGTACTGGGGCTTTGGTAGCATATATGATTCTAAATTTTATTTAGATTAATCATCAGATTAATTATTTAGGACTTCACAGCTCAGGTCCTATTAAGCTGTTTTTCATTACTTTTTTTAAAAAAAGAGAAATACCTTGATTCCAATCCAATTAGAATAGAATAGGCATTGTGAAGAAAAATGTTCCCAAATCTCATAGTTAGGCAGTCTTTACTCCTGCGTATTTATGATTCTATTCTGTTGAATACAAGTAAAATTAGTTATTTTGTGTCTGAATTCAAAACTTCCTAGTGTTCCAGTAAAAAGAGCAAAATATCCTTGTATGCCACATAGCTCTACTTATTAATAATTAGTGCTGTCTTTTGTAATATATGTTTTAAATGTTAAATGATTTATTTCTATTCACATTTTCTTTATTATAATTCTGCTATGTCACATGATAATAGGAAGGACATGAAGAAATTGTTTTCATAAACCACATTACTTACCAGTTCTGTAATTTCAAGAGATTTATTTTTTTCTCTTTAGTAAGAGGGAAAAGATGGAGGTAAATATGATGTCATTTGTCTTTAATAATAGAGCTGAAAGTTAGGAATGAATAGCTAAAGCAAATAACCTTTTTTTAAGTAAAAGACCGCACATGTGAACAGTAGTATTGTTTCAGAAATACTAAACGTGTAAAAGTAGAGGTAACAGTAGTTTAAAAGAATTAAAGTTACATGTGATAGACAAAGAGTGAATGAAATGACTAGGAAAGAATCAGACGAATCATAATTAGGAACATCTGGAGTATATGTGATGTCTTTTTAAAATACAGCTTAAGGGACTCAGAATTTCTTTTTGTTCCAACATCCTCTCATCTATGTTCTCTATAAATGATTATGTTTGTAGCCACATGACCATACCACACCTTCCTACTTTCTTGAGTCTATATCTAGGCTATGTCTGTATTTTATATTCACGCAATAATCTAGCTGTTAGTGATCAGGAATAGGTTTACCAGATAAAATATAGGACACCCAGCTAAATTTAAATTTCATATAAGCAGCAATTAATCTTTTAGTATACATTTGTTTCAGATTTCATTGTTTACCTGAAATTCATATTTCTGGATAATCCTGTATTTTTATTTTTAAAACTGGCAATCTTAAGAGAGACAACTCAATCCTCCTATCTGTTTTTATTTAAATACCTGAACAATCTAGGACAGATTTAAAAATTTCCCTACTTTTTCACCCTAATAATTAAAAAGTTGTTTTCAGGACCCGTGTCCGTCCAGTCCACCCCCAAAGTCCCAGTCCCCATTCCATCTGTCCGTGTCCTGTCCCGTACCGTCCCCCTCCCTCCCCCCCCAAACAATAGGATCTCTCTGCTGCCAAAGGCTTTTACCTTCTGGTGCATACATCAGTCAAATACTCATCTGAAAATTCCCCACTTTAGTTCTTTGGTAAGGCCTGATTGAGAGTCAGCCTGCTATAATTGAAATAAACTTGGACTTTAGCCCATGGTAGCCCTGGGTTACTTTTTATTCCAGTTTTGCTACTCTGTGATAAATGGGCTCAGTGTTGTCAGTAGAACACTCAGGAATAATATCAACTGTAAAGGCTTGTTGTGAGGAACAAATGAGATAAAGGTTAGTTTCCTTACTTCTTTAATGGAGCTATTTTGGAACTCAGACCTCCAGGAAATATCAGCACTAGAGACATTTAGCACTTAAGATTTTAGGAGTCTCAGGTGGTACAAATGTTCAAGATACTTGGCTGCTCAGGAGAAAAACTGGGCAATCTACTTCTGAAAAATCACCCATTGAAAACCCTCTGGAGCACAGTTATACTGTGACACACATGGGGTCGCCATGTATTGGAGTGAACTGGAAGGTAATTGGTTACTGGTTAAGATTCTAGAATTTTTATGTACCTGTAAAACCAATAGACTAGAAGCTAGACAGAAATATATCTTTCAAGAATTTATAAGAAAAGAATGCTCATTTACTTTCAAACAATTGGAAGGAGAGAAGATGTTTGACATGGTGCTTGGAGGTAATATATCTCTTCTCCTTTATCCATTTAAATTTTAAAAAATACTTGTTGTTGTTGTTGTTATGTGCCATCATAGCGACCCCTCCTTGGGTTTCTGAGGCAGTATCTTAGTTAAACAATGTGTCCTTTTGCTAATTTGATTGACATCACTCATTCTTTATTTGATTTCTTTTCTACCTCCTGTGTTAGTCTTTTTCTGCCTTATGGGATTAGGCTTATGTTTTCTTTGCCTTTTTATTAAATAAATGCAGCTTTATCTTTGTAAGAAATGGTAAGTTTTGGTCCTAACTCAAAAACTCACTACTGTCTACTTGATTCCAACTCACAGTGACTCCCATTAGGTTTCCGAGGTGGTAAATCTTTGTGGAAGTAGAGTGCCCAGTCTTCCGCTACAGAAGTAGACTGCCCAGTATCCTTCCACAGAGCGGCTGGTGGATTTGAACTGTGAACCTTCTGGTTAGCA